CTAAGATATAAGAAATCATTAAACGCGAAAAATTGAAAAAATATAAAATTTATTTATATTAAAAATTGTTTTATTATAGGGTTTGGTTGATGTAAAAGAAAACAAAAAATTAATTGAGTGAGGATTTAAAGAAAGTTGTTCAGAACAGCATTTCTTACAAACCAAGAAATATGAGTTTATACTAAACAAACCCAATGCCTATTTAATTCATATTGGATTAGCCTGTCAAATAAAAATTGAACATTTAAAATCGACATTTAAGTCATGAAAATTAATAGAATTTCGAAAGTTTATTTTTGTTTCTCATTGGAGTTGAACGATTTAAATACATTCAATTTCAAAATCTATAAAATATATACATAAGTGACGTCTAATCGAATCTCTTGAAATATTAAAAACAAAATCAAAACAATATACCTTACTAGAATATTAAGCGATTAAAATACTAATTTTCTTTCCAGTTTTTCGCCTACCTCATATAGTGTTGCTTATTTCAAGTTTTTGCTTTTTGGTATATGATTCCTTATATAAATTTTCTTTCCTAGCGATTTTCAATATTAGAATTTATTCAATTTCCCATTTCTGATTCAATTAATTCCACGTTTGGATATAAAAAAAAATCAGCTGCAAAATTCCATTAACACCTCTAAAATATCTAATAACGGTATGAATTTTTATGCAAAAGACCAATTTCCTGATTCCTAAAAGAATACAAAAAGCAAATGAATTATAAATATTTTTTTAAGCATATTTTTATTATATTTATTTTTAAAATAATTTTAGGATATAATAAAATACTCTGCGTGAATAATTGGTTTTCTTCCATCAAAATTTTTTTATTTTAATTTTCAAAAGTTTTTATTATTATTTTTATTTTTTGATAATAAATTACCGACAACGTTGACAAATTTTCGTTAAAATGTTAAAGAAATATGAGATGCCTTCTTATTTGCATCAAAAATTGGCTAAAAACTCGCCGCTAAAAACCACTCAATTTTAATTTTCAATTTTTTTATTGTCTGTTTTTTTTTTTTCAAATGATTATGATTATTAAAATGATATAACAATAAGGATAATATCATACTGTAATACCCACCCCATTAAAAAGTGCCTAAACAAATTGAGAATCTTATTTTCTTCCTTTCTCTTTAACATTTGAATTAAATTTTTCTTTTTTTATTTTTTATGTGCACACACACACAAACAATACATATAACATTTAATAATGATATCGTCTCCTTTTGTTATCCTTTGGAATTTTCTTCTTAAAAAACCAAAAATTTGTTGTTTTTCTACAATTTTGCTTTATCCCAAATTATAATAAGCATAACTGAAAAAAAAAAATTTAAAAAATCTCACAAATGACAGATTTTCCGTCGCATCGCAATATAAATCGCAATTTACCAGCAAAAAAAAAAAAAAGGATATTTAAAACTCCTGTTTTAAGGGGTTGGTATTGAATGTAAATTTCAGTTCTTTTGTTAGAATTTGGAATGAAAAATGGATTGGAATGGGAACAGGTTTTTGAGATTTTTTTAAATACATACTCGATTTGTTTTTCGTTTTTTTGTAATATTTTTATTGTTCAATTGAATGTGATGTTTTTTATTTTCAATTTTAAATTGAAAATATGTTCTAAATTCGTAATAGCAGTAGGGAAATAATAAAAAAAAAAACAAGTACATTACTAGAAAGCAAAAAAAAACGAACTTATGTAAATGTGATTAAATTCTCAGGAGGATTTTTATGTTTTTATTCTTCTTCTTTTTTTCTAAATTGAAGCTACAAATAAAGTGATTTGTTAAATAATTTTTTTTTTATTGATTTTCCATGTCTAAATTACAAGAATGTTCGGAAAGTGAGGAATTTCTTCTTATCATATTCAATTAATAGAAAATGGTAATTTGATTGAAGACTTGAAAATTATGTTTGTAAATATAAAGACACAAAAATTATTTCATCTGAATATATTGAAATTTAATTAATTATTTTATAACCTTCCTTATTGTTTTTCTATTAATTCAAATAGAGAATTTAAAATATTTTTTATGAAAAATTATAGATTTTAATTTAAGACTGTACAGCCCCCTGTAAATAGATGTAAATAAACTTATTAAATTGAGCACTCACAAATTAGCTACCGCAAAGTATATAACAACAATTCACCAAATATCAGGCATTGAAGTAGGATAACTAAAGAAATTAGTCTTTACAATAAAACTGTGTATTGAAAAACATATCTTTATAAACATTCAGATTGCAGATTAAAACTAATAACTCAAATACCATTTCAAAATTTGCATTCCGCACGTCGTTTTTGTATAGAAGATAATTGAAAATATTTTTATAAAAAAAATTCATAATGAAGAAAAAAAAGCGACACCCTAGCTTTTTCGTTTTTTATTTAAGCGTGAAAACAATAATGAAAATGCCTTAAGCGATTTCGTCCTTATTTTTAAACACTTTTAATCTATAACTTTCCATTCTATTTACAATTACAAAATAAAAAATTATAATGAAAGAACACATAAGATAAAAGTATAATACATTTATTTATTATTTTTGGAAAATAATATGGAATTTCTTATAAAGCATTTACTTAAAGCATCTATTTTTTGTTTCTAATCTTCCGAAATCTAAAATATTAATTGTAAGTAAAATCGAAAACTAAATTAAATTTTATTAAATATAAAAACTTGATTATACGTATGAAAATTTGCTTTCCTACCGATGGTAGGTTTTTACAGGTGAAAATCAATTCTTGCAGGTACTTGCAAAGTTTAACAATTAGAGCTATATTTAACATGCTTTATTAACATTAACATGCTTAACATGTTTTATTCCCCCAACGAATAGAATGAGTAATTCATTTACATATTTGGGACCATAACTAAAATTAAAAGTTTTTTTAATAATTTATTGAAAATTAAATATAAACTATTAATAAAAAAGTAAATCTTAATTGTATAAATGTTGTACATTATATTTTAAATTAATTAAATTGCATTCTCATTTTATTTCGATTTGCTTTCGTATATAAAAATTTTAAAGTTATACAAAACAACTTTTTCGTCCTTTTTCCAAATTTTCAATGATCGTATATAAGTCCATATTATTGTAGTTAGCTATCAGTTAATTATTAACGGTTGAATTGGTCTTTATTAACAACGGAAATGGAAATTGCAATTTTCATATCATTTTTTTGTTATTTTACTTTTAGTAATAATGGTTTTTTTTACCTGTATTGAACATTTTATTGATACGTTAAAACTATATGTATGTAGGTGGTAGGTACTTGCAAATCTCAGCAATTTTCCAATTGTTTAAAAAAAATCTGATGAAGTGGCAACAAAAAACAAAAGAAAGGAAATGTGAAAAATTGAAATGTGGAAAAAAAATTGTAGGTATCTGTTAAAAAAAGGACGTGTTTTTTTTTGTTTTTTACATCAGTGAATAAAAAATTGATTGATAAAAAATTACACTTAAATAAAAAATAAAACTAAAAAGAACGAGAAAAGCCACAAAGAAAACACAAAAACATTAGTGAAAAGAATTTAAAAACAAAAAAAAAAATAAAAATGTTAAATTTAAAAACTGAATTATGAATCTTATTAAAAACCACAAAGAATCATAATGGTTTTCCTTTTGTTTTTAATTATGAATTAAAATTGAAGCAATTAATAATTTAGGTAAGTAAGTACCTATCTGCCTACGTAATCAAACATGTATCTATCATATTTTGTTATGGAAAAATGAAATTGCACGGAACATACGGAACATAATGAGGAAATTAAAGTATGTAAGCTTAATTTTATTTGAAATAAGCTGAGAAACTTGGTGTCTTACAATAATATGGAGAAATTAAATGATTAAGGGTAACCTGACCCTATCTACATGCATATTCTATAGATAAATGTCGATCTATTATCAATTTGAAAATTTAACTGCAATAAAACAATTTTAATACATCATAGTCAATCCAACTACAATACTGTACACTGCGTTTAGTTCAACAATTATGTATTTATATGTAGGTTTATACCTAAATTCCATTCTAAAAAATATTGAAGGAAAAATATTTAGAAGCGATATTGTTATATCTTACCCGAATTGTTCTTATCCCAGACTTCAGATTCTTATATTTCACCGTTAATTAAGAATCATCCAGTTTTTAATGTTCTTGTCCTTTGTTATAGTTTAATGACAATACAATGAACATTGCATTATGCATACTTACATACATATGTATAGACTTTGGATCCTGAAGCATTAAATTTCTCATTTTGCGCAGAGGAAGGTAAATTGAATAAAATTATGCCTTATTTCTTGCATTGGATTTCAGAAAATTCATGGTGTAAGTTGTTCTTCAAATAAATTGGCGCTCATCTTGTAAATTAGGTAATAACTTAATTTTCTCAGTTTTTCTTTTATTTTTCATTAAATATGTTGTTTTCAACTTTCTTTGTTATGTAGCTAATCTATTATTTATTTTTAAAATTATATACATATTTAGATTGAAATAATTGTGGCAAAAAAAATTCTGAATTTATTTTGTAGTTTTGTTGTTTTTGTTTTAACATTTGAAAATTTCTTTCAAATTTTTAAAATACTTATTTTCGAGAATCGAACAGTAATGACAATATCAAATGTATTAATACTATGACGTGTCAGAGTATTGAACCAAAGTTGTCAAATCTTTAGTACAAAATTCAAATTTTTATTTTTTTTATAAAATTCTAACTTATCTGAAATAATAATAGTCACTTTTATTTTGATTTATTTTAATTGTAAAATCTTATGCATTTTCCCGTTAAATGTTTCTCTTAAATCAAAAAGAATTAAAAAAAAGTGTCAAAGACTTTGAAAATGAGCTATAAAAAAATAACACACCTTGTATCAAAAAAAAAGTCAACCAAAAATTTTAGACAGCAATTTCGAATGTCAGAATATATATCTACTTCTCTCTCTTACTCACATTAAGATTTAGACATCCTTTTTTCTTTCTGATATTTTAAAATTAGCAGAAAAATATCACATTTGTCAGCAGGTCCGATATCATCCGTATTGCTTGAAAGGAAAAGTGATTTATTTAATAATTGATTATTTTCTAAAAAATATAAAAACAAGTTAAATGGCTTCAAGAATATTACAAAAAATTGTAAGTACATACAAAAATTGACCTGGTAAACAAAATCTTTTATAATAACTCCTTTGTTATGAATTATTGATTTATTTGATTTTTGATTAATGCTTTTTATTACAAGAATTTAAACGTGGTTTTATTTATTTGTGTGATCAACGTGTAATAAATAAATATGCTTATAATATTTGTCATTTACTATAAATGTTAATTTTTGATTTGAAAACACCAGAGACAGTTTACATAAGAACCTTCAAGGTTCAAAACTAGTATTCTTTCGAATAAAAAATTTTGAAAATGTTATTGTTATATAATTAGCTATTATTTAAAAAAATTTAATGTTATTAAATTTGAAAAAAGGCTGTCTTTGAGTATAAAAACAAGTTTTAATTGATATTTTCATGCGTAATTATAACCTCAAAATTATGTAATCTTATCAGAATTTGAGTTATGTATTCAAAAAAAAAGGGGTAAAATTAATCTCAATGATATATTTTTAGTTCACTGCCCCAACAAATGGAAGATCGTATTCATCTGGTTTACGCAAAGTAACACTAATTCCTGGAGATGGTATAGGACCCGAAATTTCTGCAGCTGTTCAAAAAATTTTTGCTGCTGCTAATGTACCAATTGAATGGGAGTCAGTTGATGTAACCCCAGTTAGAGTAAGTGATAAAAATATGCACAAAATTATATGAAAAAATTTAAAATCAATCGTTAATTTCAGGGGCCTGATGGAAGATTTGGCATTCCACAAGCTGCTATTGATTCTGTTAACAAAAATAAAATTGGTCTTAAAGGACCTCTTATGACTCCAGTTGGTAAAGGACATCGATCATTGAATTTGGCTTTACGTAAAGAATTCAATTTATATGCTAATGTAAGACCTTGCAGAAGTTTAGAGGGTTACAAAACTTTATACGATAATGTTGATGTTGTTACTATTCGTGAAAACACTGAAGGTGAATATTCAGGTATTGAACACGAAATTGTTGATGGTGTTGTCCAGTCAATTAAATTGATCACAGAAGAAGCTTCTTCAAGAGTAGCAGAATTCGCTTTCCAATATGCTCAAGATAATGGAAGGAAAAAAGTTACTGTTGTTCACAAAGCTAATATTATGTAAATTCACTTTTAACATTCGGAAACTCATTTTAAATATCGATTTATTAATTTTAGGCGTATGTCTGATGGTCTCTTTTTGAGATGTGCCCGTGAAATGTCAAAAAAATATCCAAACGTTAAATTTGAAGAAAAATATTTGGATACAGTTTGCTTAAACATGGTACAAGATCCCAACAAATATGACGTTTTGGTAAGTAAGAAATGGAATAGAAACAATTGTGTTTATCAAAACTGTAACTATAAAAAATTACTTGATATCTTTTAGGTAATGCCAAATTTATATGGTGATATCTTATCAGATATGTGCGCCGGTTTGGTAGGTGGTCTTGGTTTAACACCCTCTGGTAATATTGGATTAAATGGTGCTCTATTTGAATCTGTAAGCCATAGCTAAAATATAATTTTTTAACAAAATTTAAAGCCAAGCAACTATTTTATAGGTTCACGGTACTGCCCCTGATATAGCTGGAAAAGATTTGGCAAATCCTACTGCACTTCTTTTATCAGCAGTTATGATGTTGAAACATATGGAATTAAGTGATCATGCTGCCAAAATTAAACAAGCGTGCTTTGCAACAATTAAAGAAGCTAAATACTTAACAGGCGATTTAGGTGGTAAAGCTAAATGTTCCGAATTTACAAATGAAATTTGTGCTAAACTTTAAGTCATAAATTTTTTGTTTTAAACTAAGAAATGAGAACATAAAAAGAACTAAAAAAAAAAAAACAGAAAAAATCAATTATAAGTTTTAAAAATTTGAGACAATATGTTGGATTGCCGGAGAGGTACTCTATAAGAACAAGTAAATAGCGAATTTTTACATTTTTCATTTTGTAAATAATTTTATTTCATACATTTAATTCTCTTGATTATACAGTATATAAAACCTATTTAAAATATAGAATTTAAATATATAATTCATATATTTTAATATCAATAATATTTAAATTATTGATATTATTTGTATTTATTTATTTGAAACACTAAGATGCTGGATACGTCTTAGATTTTATTTTATATTTAATTATAATTTTAAATATTTGTCCGATACATACATTTTTAAGTTTTAAAGCCTAAAAAATGAACCAGTATTACGGTGGGGGCAATCTTATATTTAACTATTTTTAATTTTTACTTTTTGTAAAATAATAAATTTCATTTGTAAAGTTAATAATAAATTTATATAAAAAAAAAAACAATTAGTAGACAAGAGGCTACCTCTCAATACCGTATTATAAATACATATTCTAAATTTAAATATTTCTCAAACTACATAATTCAAATTTGTTAATATTTATTTTATTTATTAACAGAATACAAATTTTTTTTTTTTTTGTAAGTTAATGTTTCAAAAACATTAAATTTTGTAAGAAAATAAAATATGCTGTTAAGTAGATCATTGTTTTCAATTACTCTTATTATAATTTCAAGCAACTTGTAAAACAAGACAAAAATACTTTGTAACCAAAAATAAAATAAAAAAAAAAAAGTTAATTTATTGTTATAATAAAATAAAAAATACATTTTAAATAAAAATGTTACCAAAACTATAAACATTTATGGGTTTTTTTTTTATTTTAGTCTGAACATTTCTGAAATCTTATAAATATTTGTTGGTTTGAAATCAAAATATATATATATCGATATTCTCAATTAAGACGGAGTTGATACATGACCCAGTATATTGTGGGATATTTTTAAAGCCCTCAATTATGGTGTAGAGAAATCCTTAATTATGAGTATTTTCAAGGGGCTATGAAAATTCTTAAGGTTTTAAGAACTTATCTGAAAATATTTTCTTATAAAAAATATTAAAATTGGTAGTCTTCTATAAATAATGCGTATATGAAAGCTTTCGGGCAAAATTTATTTGATTAAAAAATAATTTTAGAATAAAATAAAACTCAAAATTTATTTATTTTTTGTATGATTTGATTATGTATTTTTATATTTTTTATTTCTTTTTTTTATGTATGTAATTTGTAATAATGTTTTTCTTTACCATTTTTCTCAAATATTTTCTTAAATTATTTGTATTTTTCCCTCATTTAAACTACAATTTGAACTTATTCAATATTTTTTTTTTAATTTTAACTTTTATGAATTTTTTTTTTTTATACATTTTAATGTATTCATTTATACCACATTATTCTTATACATTCATTAATTTACTTTTTTATACTTTCATGTAATAAAATTTAAAAATGATAAAAATAAAAAAAACAAAAAAAATTTAAACTTAGAACATTTACATTGTATTTTACTCTCAATATTTTTTTCTTTTTAATTTGAAATGCAAATTTCATCTACAAAAATAATTTTTATACATCTAAGTATATATATGGTAATCATATATCTATTTATTATGTATTTTTTTTTTTTTTTAAATTTTCTTTTAATTAATTTTATAATAGTAGTATGTAATAATTATAGTTTATAAATAGTAGGCTAAGTTTAGAGATATAATGATGATTTTGTTTTTAAATTGATTTTAATGATAATTTTCTAAATTTATTTTTTGCTTTTTCTTTTATTTTATATATCATTCATTTCTTCTTTTATTTATTTTACATATTTTGTATTTAACCCTTCCATTGATAATTTTGATTTTATTTTTTGAATTTTTTTTTTGTAAATTATAGACTCAATTATGGAAGGTTTACCGAAACTTAATCGACTCGTCTCTAATATTTTGTTTGAAATAAGACGGGTGCTATTATGGAAATCGATTTTACTCAGCAGATTAGTTTTATAGATTTTAAATTCTAACCATTACAATATAATGAAATAGAAATCCATAATAGCCATTTTCTTATTTAAATCGATTTGAATCTACTTCCATAACTAAGCCCTGTATAATTACAAAAACATAAAGAAAATCCACCTAAAAATAAAAAAAAAATGTTTAGCCAAAAAATGAATGCCATCAAATTTCGAATTGTAATTTTTTTGTGATTTGTATTTAAAAAGTGTGAAATTTTGCATATTAATCAATTTTTTTTTTATACTACCATAAAATTCTCATTTCATTTCCTTTCTCATAATATTTTTTTATTTATTTCATGCTTTACTAATCAAATTTAAATCTGAAATTTGAAACCAAATATTAAAAATTTTTTTTAAATGTAATAATGAAGCTTCTATTACAATTTTATAATTTCAATGAAAATTCACTTTAATTCTTTGTTTATAAAATAATAATAATATTAAATAAACAAATCATAATTTTTAATTTATTGTAAGTATGCTGTAAATAATTTCAAATATGATTACAAATTTATTTCAAATTTGGCTTTTTAATTGCATAAAATTGAAGAAAATAATATTAAGAAGGTTAACCATTAATTAACAAAAGCAAAAAATAATGATTTTAAAATTAAATAAACAAGAAATTCAAAATTAATTAAAAAGAAATTAAATATTAAAATTGTTTAAATAAATTTGCAGTTTTTTTTTGACTTAATATAAATGAGTATAAAATTTTCATATTTAATTGAAATATTGAAAATTCTTTAAATGTATAAAAATGATATTTATTATAATAAAATTAATATATGAATTTATGTATGAAAGCTTTGGTTTAAATAATATATATATATATATATATACATATAATATTTTACAAATGAAAATAATATTATATAACAATTTATATTTAAACAATTAAAATAAAATAATATAATTTAATAAGATATTAGAGGAACATATTATGGGTAACCTTCTTATTTAATATTTTTTATTTCACATTTTATAAAGTTTTTTTTTGTTTTTTTTTTTTATATATTTTTTATATATTTCATTTTTTTTTTTTCGTTTTTTATGTGTAAAAAAAAAATATTGATTTTATCACAGGAAAGCTTTATGAAAATAATACAAATATTTTGGATTAATTAAAATAAATTATATTATAATTTATTATAATTTTATTTTATTTGAATTTGATTTTAAACATTTTTTCAATATTATTGTTTTATTTGAAATTTCAATTAAATTGAAATTGTAAAATTAATAATTTATGTATATAAAATAATTAAATTTTTTGTTTTAATTTATTTCATTAAAAATATTTAATAATTAATAAAAATTTAACAATATATTAAATGCATATATATTAAAATATAATTATAATTCATTAATTCCAATAAATATTGTAAAATTTAATTGAAATATTAAAGACGTATTTAATGAATTTTAATAATTAAAATAAAATTTTTTAGAAAAATAAAAAAAATGGCAAGCAAAAAAAAAAATAAATTCTACAAAAATTTACAAATTAAATTCAATTTAATAAATTTAAATTATTTTGATATTTTAATAAAAGAAATTAATGAATCCAAAATAAAGAGTAAAATTTTCATAATAAAATTTTAATAACAAATAATAAATAGCATGCATTTTGCTACAATTACAATTGTTATAAAATTGTTGAATTAAAAATTTAAAAAAAAAATAAAAATTTTTGATTTTTAATAAATATATTGTATATAGTAAAATATTTTTAATAATAAAGAGTTTTGTTTGTTTAATTTTTTTTTAACAGAAATAAAAAAAATAATAATAAAATGTTTTTTTTATTATGTATAAATTCAACTTAGCTATACTTATAAAGTAAACAATTTTTTAATAATTAATAATAATTTTAATATAATATTAATAATTCTATTTTCAATTTAAAATATAAAAGAATTTTTATAAATATTTTATACCATCAATATATTAATTTTTTGAAGTGAAAAAATTTAAATTCATTATTATTTTATATTTATTTTATTATTAAAATAAATTTAATTTAATATATTTAAATTATTATATTTTAATATTCTAAAATAAAATTTAACTATTATTAAAAATTTAAGAAAAAAATTTAAATAATGTAAAATAAAAAAATTTTAATAAACCACAAATTGTGGGAGACTATCCGATTTTTTTATCCATTCCAATTTTCATATTATAATTAGCATTTCTTTTATTAATTTTAGATTTCAATTAAATATATTAATAAAAAATATTTTATATAGGTTTATGCCAATTTTATTTTTTTTTTGGGGTTTAAATTATATTTTTTTTTAAAAGGTTTTGTGTTCTTATTAAAATTATTTCAAAAAAGGTGAAATTTTTTATTATAAATTGGTGAAAAAATTTTGAATGCGATCAAATCTAATATAATAAATTACTTTTGTATTAAATATTTCAGATCATTCTGGGTAATTATTCTTATTAAAATATTTCTTTATTAAAATATTTTCTCATCATTCTTTATAATTAAATTACATTTAAATTACAATAGCAATTATAATTAATTGTTTTTTTTTTTAAATTAAATTGTAATTATGCGTATATAATATTTAAAATTTTCTTTTATTAAATTGCATAATGTTTTTCATAAAGAAATTAATTTGATTTGAAAATTTTTTAATTTAATTAATGTTTAAAAATGTCCTTTTCATAAATTTCTTCCTTTTGGTAAATTAATATGGTAAATGAATAGAGCAATTATTTAGTGAGTTTTGCCATTTTTATATTCTTATGCATTTTGTTAATTTAATTATATTTTTTATAATTGAATTTATTTCATAAAAAAGCTACTAATTGACAATAAAATTTAATATTTTATTATTAATTTTTTATTTTATTTGTTTTTACATAAAAATTTATTTTTGCTTGTATAAATATTTTGTTTGTTTTATTTGTTTGCTTTTGTTATTTTAATTTAATTTTATATTTTGTGAGCATTTAGGTGGATTGTTTTATTTTTATTTGCTTGTTTTTTTTTTTTTATAAATTTGCTGCTGCTATAAAATAATTGCCATTAATTACTATTAAAAGAATAATTTTTTTTTTTTATATATACTTTTAATAGTTATGATTTTATTTTTAATGAATTTAAAATGTCGTATGAATTTAAATATTAATATTTTATATATAATTATATTATGACTTAAAAATATTACATTCATTATTATAATAACTTATATAAATTTTTGTATTACTGTGGTAAGTGAGCAGTAGAGGCTTTCTTCAAATTGTAAAAAAGAAAAGAAAAAAATGTATGTTTATATGTTTAAGAAAGTTTCTTATTATTATCAGAATAAAAATATTAAAAATGCATATATTTGGAACGACAAGTATATAATTACCATAAGACAATGAGAAAAAAAAATACCAAGAAACTATAATAAATATTTAAGCTATATATATCCGATTTAAATAATCACCCCATATTCTACTTGTCGAATCACATGGCGTGATGGCTTGTTATTCAAAAATTTTCAAAATCAATATCAAAATTTTAAATTCTATACTGAATATCAGAATGCTTTTCCATCACATATCCCATCACATCAAGTGATACGGCTAACAGAATATTCATGAATAAAAATCAATTAATTTCTGTTGTTACTTCAAAAATTTTTACCAAATTATTATGCGAAATTGTGTTTTTAAAAATTATTATTAGTGCAATAATCCTAATAATTTTTTTTTATAGTAAAATGCAATTCATAAATAAATTATACACATAAAATATAAATTTATAGAATGAAAAAAAAATTCTATTTATAGTGTATAAATTTCTTGTGAATATTTTTTTTTTTTATTTTTTGTATTTATTTATAAATGCATATTCCTACATTATAGATTTATATTGCTATAAGAACATCTAAATCAGCTAATAATAATAAAGCTTGACATTATATATTTCTGTTGCTTTAAATATTTAATTTATATTAATAATAAATTAGAATATAATTATTAGATGGTATTCAATAAATAGTTATTCTTTGGATTTACATAAAAAATTCTTGTGTATTTTTCTCTTAATTATTGCTATAGAAATAAGCTTTAATTAATGTAATTATTGTTGTAGAAATAAGCTTAGATAAATTTTTAAAAGGTGTTTAAGTCATATAAATTAGATTTTTTACTGAAATTTCAGATTTTTATTTTAAAATTTTTACTAATAAACTATAGTTGATTTATTTGTATATTCTGCTACTATTAATATTTTTCTCATGTAGAATATATTTGAGTATAAAACTATTGTTTATTAAGCAAAAACTATTATATTTTCCTAAAAGAAAAAAAAATATAAATGGTGTAATAAAAATAAAAAAAAAAATTGTTTATATTTTTTTTATAATTTAATTTACTTTTTTTTTTCTATATAAATAAACATTTTTTTTTACTTATAGCATATAAAATTATAAACATTATTATAAAACATTTTTTTGAAATTTTGTTTAAAAGAAAATATTGTACAAAATAAAATTTAATATTTAAATAGGATTTTTTATTATTTTAATATAAATTCTATAAATTTTAATTTAATATATAAGAAAATTGAATGTTTTCTTTTGTTTCTTTTTTTAATATAAATTAAAAACATATTATATAACAACTTTTAAAAGAAATTAAATAGAATTTATTCTATGTATCAAATGAAAATTATAAACTTTAATACCAAAATAAAATTTTGGTATATAAGATATAATTATTTATTTATTTTAAAAATGTATGTAATAATTTTAGTGAAAAAAATTAAAAATTTATTTAATTTATCAAGATATTTTTATTACATCGAAACAAATATTTTTCATATATTTCAAAAAACAAATTATTAATGATATTTCATTAAACATTTACATGTTTATTACAACAATAAATTGCATCATTTTTAAATTGATCTACATAATTAAATTGCAATTTAATATTTATAATTTTGTTTTTGATTACTTTAAATTATATTTATTAAAAATTATGTAGTTTATAGACATAGAATATATTTAAGTAAGTTGTTATATGAGTTTTATAAAATTTGTAAAATTTATTATTACATTTTTTTTTAATTTTCACACGATTATTCATTTATTTATAATTTTGTTTTTTTTTTTTTTTTATAAAACACAAAAGTATTCTCATACAACACCATAAACAACCTCATAAAACAATTTAAATTACAATTATCAAATTATTTTCATTCAAAAACATTCAAATTTATCGACATTTCTTTAATTTTGTACAATCACATTAAAAATGAAATTTTTACAAAACATATTTTACTTTTTCTTTTTGTAATTTCTTTAATAAAAACAATTATATTATTAAATAAATTAATGAAAACTTAAAATTTAACCAAAATTTTATATATTTATAAATAACTTTAAAAAATCAAAGTACCTAAATATATATTATTGATTTTAGACTACAAAAAAAAAAAACTACAAGTTTAACATTTTAAATTGCAAGCCTTTCAGTCTGTTTTGTTTTTTCTTTTTCTTCTACATTCATTTATATAATTAATTTATTAATTTAATTAAATAAATTAATTAATAATTATAAAACAAAATAACAAAATTTTAATTGTATTTTTTTTAAGAAAATTTTGTTATTTTGTTTTCTGACTGTAAATTTTTTCTTCATTTATTAGCCTTAATAGCTCTTTATAATTTTTATCACTCCAATAGCAAAAAAAAATTTCTGGACATTTTTCATTTGATGTTTTCATCTTTTTTTTTTTTCTTCAACAAATTAATTTCTTTTCCTCATTTTTATATCTAAAAATTTTCTATTTTTATTTTAAATATTTAATTGTATATTAGACTTTCATAATAATTCTATTGAATTCAAAACTTTCAATAAATTATTTTCTTTGTTACTTGCTATCAGTTTAAAACATTGGTTTAAAATTTTTTTAAAAAATTTGTATTTTTTGTATTTAATATTATGCCAATGTTTCAATTATAACTGACATCTACATATACATATTTTATGTAACATGCCGATGAATTTTTTCCTCTTCATCTTTTCTAAATTATTACACTATACTTGAAATAAGAGATGAGAAAAAGAAAATTTATGATGAGGCAATATGATCATCAATTGATTCATCATTAGTAGTATCATAACCCATATTTGAAAATCCTGGTGGTGATGGTGATGATGATGATGTATGACGATCGTTAATTAACATTGAGAGAGCTTTCAAACTTTTTCGGACCTAAAAATTAAATAAAAAAAATTATTGTAGTAAAATTTTGGAACAAATATTTAAATTTATCTTAAAATTTTAAAAAAAAAATTTATACTTACACGTGCAATTAGCTCTAAATTGTTACTAAGAATACTTTGAGCTTCTTCAGTGCTTTTTACTTGTAATTCTTTTTGCCATTTAAGTGCTTCTGCATAAATATTATCATTATTATCATCATCACTTGAAGACTATAAAAAATATAAAAATAAATTTTAACTTAAATTACTTTTATGAGTTTTTTTTAAATAACTTACCCATTTATTACTTATATCTATTGTTGATCTATAACTAGCTTTGGCCTCAATATCTAATATCCTAAACATAAGGAATAACGAAAATATTGTTAACATAACAGCTAAAAATATTCCTATATAAACAACATGCACTTCTGTTGGAAATTTGAAATGTATTAAGCTAATTAATTTATCTTTAACATTTCTGAATGATGAACCGCCTGAACATGATGTTGATGATACAGATTTTTCTGGTGTTAAAGGATATCCGATTGATGTTGATGTTGCTGCTGTCATAATTGGAAGTGATTGATTTGGTTTTAATACTTTAATTGGAGTGCCAGCACCTATTATTAATTGAATTTTATCTAAAAAATAATAAAAACAAAAAAAAAAAAAATAAATAAAATATTAATAAATCTAATTAAGTTAATAATTACTTTCTCCACCATTATCAATATTTAATAGATCACTATCAGTTCTTGTATCATTTAATGTAACATTATTTGTTGAAGCTGATATTGGACGATGTCTTAATGTATGACTAGCATCAGATGAAGCTGTTGTTGTATTACCACAATTACCACCGCTATCACCAGCTTTTAATAATGCTGGACTTTCATTACCACTAATTGAACAACTTGAATCATCTTCAACAGAATATTCTTCACATATTTCAGCATCAGGAACTTTTGGACTTATAATTATATTTTCAGCTGCTTCTAATGGTGGGCATACACTACACATTAATCTATATGCAGCTTCACGACTCATAAAACTACCAAAAACATGACGTTCATCATATGTTGTAACACCAACAGCATTTGGTATAATTTTAGCTGTTTTTTCTTTTGAAATTTTCATAACAGATGATGTTGGAATGAGCAACTAAAAAAGGAAATAACACAAATTATTAAGGAATTATTGTTTTTTTTTTTTTAATTTTTATTTTAAAAGCCTACCTTAGTTACAAAACCGAAAACATTTGAATAAAATGCAAAATAATTTTCTGTAATATATAAATGTCCTTGAAGCAAAATATCACTGACTAGCGCACATGAAAAATCTATTAAATAAAAAATATATTAAATAGTGTGACATGTATAGTAATAAAATTAAATTGCTTACAATTGAGAATTCTTTCATCTTTAGAAACTTGTTGAAAATGTCGGTGAAATTTTTTCTTTCTTGAACTGCTAAGTTCTTTTCTCTTCTTTTCCTTTTCTGGAATCTCATTTTTAGATGTTGTCACGCTAGTATTACTTTTCGTATCGTTTATAACACTTAATACAGATGATGTTGATTGTGATTTTATTGGATGTGGACTAATGCTTCGTCCTGATCTCTCTTGACTCTGTTGCTGTTGATAATTTTGTGTTGATTGTGTTTGTTGTTGTCCACTTCCACTGCCTGATGTTGATGATGTCGGCGTGATTACTGTTATCTGTCTACTTATTTCAGATGATGATGCAATAATTGGTGAAGATGATAATTGCCTTTGGAATCTATAATTAAAAAGAGAAGTTTGGAAAAGAAATTAATTAGATGCAATAAAAAATTAAATTTTTTTTTATTATTTTCTTTTAATTTTTATCACAACTAAGCCTATCTAGTAGCTAATGACAGCCTATCTAGTAATTTATTTATCAGTATATTTTGAATAGCATGTATTGAGTGGACAACCTGTGGTATCCCTTGTATAAAAAACTAAATAAGAAATTATTTTAATTATAACGTAATTGAGAAATTTAAACCTGACCTTTAGTTCATTTTAATTTTTTTTAACTTGTATAAACTTTTTATTGCCCTAACATATTTTCAATCAAGGCGTATTAACAATTTTGAAGCTCTGTTCAAAATTTTAAAAGCAGTATAATTTAAGAATGCATTATAAATCGGGGGCCAGTACATTACGGTCTTAATACTCGAGTATTCTAACAGTTTTTAATGTTACAATCAGACCGGTTTGCTTATATGCATATCGCATGCTGTGTTGCGTCCTTCATTTTTTACAATATTGGAATAAATGTATGAATATAGTGAATTAAATTGAAGTGTAAAAAAAAATTTCACAATCAAAAACCCATTCAATTACAGCCAATCATTTACAAAATCATCACTAAAATTTTCCAATAATATTTCGCAAAATTCTAAATATTTTATAATACTTGTGAAATAATAAACATAAGCAATATTAAAAAGAAAATTGAATCATATCAAAATTAACTGGACTTGTGAACTCTTATTTATCGTTCCAAATTTATATGATACAATTGTGGCGTATTTGAAATAATATTCGATATAAATGGCTTATCTTTGGTTTTACACTCTCTACTAAATCAATGACTAATAATTAGATTAAAAACAAACATATTCATACACACAATCATAAACGCAAACAGTTTTTCTTAGATTTAATTTTCATATACAAAACATATTGCATTCTGTTAGCAATTTCTGAGTCATTTTTAAATCAACCAAGGCTGTTGTGCATTGTTTTTCACTTCTTTTCTATGTAAATTTTTTTATGAGAAATTGGTAATTTGTGCAAAAATGTCCGTTCATATTATTTTTATTGTTAAGGTATTTTTTTGTTAAATGTCACAAATAAATCTCAATTTTTTATTGCCCAGACAATGCAACAAAAAATCAACTCTATGTTTTTTTTCTATATTGTTACAAATGTACAACAGATATAATGTTGTGTTTGAACAGGTGTTTCCTAAAACTTTTATAAATTTTGTTATGAGCGCTCCTCCATGCTTTTATTATAGAAAAAAAAAACAAATGGTAATAAAAATACAAAAAAATAATAAAGAAAAATTTTTTTTGTTTACGTTTTAATATACACAACGCACACACGCGCCTTATCTCTATAAATGGGTGATAATTTTAATATGAAAGAAAGAAAGAATGAGAGGAATGGGTGCTATATAAAAAAAAATTGCTATATAAAAAAATCAAATTTCATAACCTTTATTCAAAAATTATGATAATTATCGCTGTTGCTAATAGTCGAAAATTGATAAGAAATCAATAAAAGTTTGTGTATTCAAATTAAATATTAAAAAATATTGTTGAAATTCTACTTACAAGGCATAATGTCTATTTCCATCTATTGCTTAAAATTTGTTCTACTTTGTTAAATAAAAATACACGGTATACTTATCAAAAATATTTAAAGATAAATCACTAATTTGGTTTTGCTAAATAACTTGCTGAAACCCCTTAATTTTTTTTCTCCTAAAAATATTGACTGAATTATAGGTATTCGAATTTAAATTGCAAGAATACGATATACATATACGGTATATTACAAGAATACGGTATTTACTTATTTTTTATGAGTAAACATTAAAATATTGCTCCTATATTCAGTAAATAAACACAACTTGAAAATTATAGTATAATCTTGTATTGCTATACGCAATTCTGCAAATATACAAATCATAGGCTGGTGTATTAATGCAGCTTAAATGCAATTTTGAAGTCACTCTACTATTAAATACATATTTAAAAAAAAAGATTAAATTTTTAGCATTATCAATGAAAGTATCGCATTAAAAAACTACTTATAAAGTAATTTGTATTACGCCTTAACCTTTCTTAACTTTTACTACAAATAATCAAAAAAGAAACTGCGAAATTATTACGAAATTTTATTTAAAAAATAAAAATAATTTTTACTTTGTTTATAAATTTTTTGCTAAATTGCGTAAATAGTGTAATAAAATAAGCTGATAAAGTCTAATATAATAAATCAAATATGATTAAAATTCAATTCTATAGGTGAATATAAAAATATAAGAAAATTTTTAAAATTTTAGAATTAAAATTAATAATTTAAATAATATTTGTGTTAGTAAGAGTCCAAACAAAATTAAACGATTAAAATTCTAAAATTTTTTTTTAAGAATTTTCTTTATATTTCAGAAACTTATTCAATAAGAAATACAGAAATAAGAATAAGGCTTTGTATTAGAAAATTTCTGCAATAGCATTTTTTAATATTACTTATTGAAAATAAAAATTTTTTGTGTTCTTATTGAGTATAGAGTTGAAAGCACTTTTGATATGTAATCCGGTTATGTTCGAAAAATAGGAATGAATACGTTTTCAAACTACCTTTAAGTATCGGCTTACTCATAACTCAATAAAAATTTTAAAAATTTTCCCTCAATTTCAAATATTAATCAAAATTTACCAACAAAAAATCAATTAAAAATTTAAAATTTTAGAAAAATTCCACAAAATTGCAAATTTGTATACTTTAGACCCTCCCAATTTCACATATCATTTAAGAAATTTAAAAAAAAAAATTCGGATTATAAATTAAAATACAATAATTTTTATATTAGAAATAAATTCTAAAATCATTAAGTTTTTGTAAATATAAGTAAATATCTATGTATATAAGCATGTTGTTGAGACTAAAAGTAAACTAACTGGTTCTGATAAAAAATTCTTCATATTTAATATTTAGATAGCTACTCGTATGCTTATAACTATGTAATATTTTTGATTACATATAAGCATGCCAATAATAATGATATAAACTTCTATATACATACAAATATATGCTTATGTATAACACTTATAAAAATATGTAACTAAAAATATAAAATATTCTTGTATATTTTAATAAAAATTATTTCAGACGCGCGTTTACAAAAAAAAAAAAACATTTTATCTGCAAAATAATCAAAATTTAATCTAAAAATAAAATATCGAAATTTATAATATAAGTAAGCATATAGAAAATGTTCTACTATACCTACTTACATATTATTAGTAATTATATTTTTGGTCACTTACATATTTACATATATATATATATGAATTTTACCTATTGTGATGTGTTCTTTTTCGATTAATTAATTAGAACAGAAATAATAATTTTTATGTTTCTGTTTTTGTTTTTTTATTAATCGAAAACTGAGAAAACAAGCTTTTTCTAAACCGGCTTTTTGTTTTTTTTTTAATAAATCAAATTAAGTTTCTGAAGCATTGTACAGAAAATTAATTAATTTCGAAATTTACCTATAGACAAAAAAAATCAAACTGTTGTAGAATTTGACCTTTATATTACAAAAAATATTAATTAAAATGAATTAGAATTAAGTATTCTAATAAATTCCTGATTCGAAAAATTCGAATTAGTTTTCAGTTCAAGATTTTATGAAAAAATTTATTTAGTTAAGTATTAATTTTCTTAAATCTTCCAATTTTAATGCTAACTCAAAAAATATTTCCGAAATAATTATACCTACTGGTAAATTCGAAAAAACTGATATGTATTTTCGAAATACGGAACATATTTTCGAAATACTTATTTTATATGTAATATTTTCGTATTAGCAATTTTGATTATAGTATATATATTAAGTACTTTGAGCCGGCACTGCAAATATTAACGTTATAGTTTGACTGATTCTTCATTATTAAAATGAGAATCCCAGTTTTTGGTCTATTGATTTCACTACGCATCAGCATCTTAGTGCATTAGCAACAATATTATTGAACAATTATTTGTAAATTTTTTTTTGTAAATATCTCAGAATAATTGCGTTAAATACTCAAACAATGAATTAGGTTAAATAAATCTAAAAATAAAAGAATACAGATTATAGCGGAAAAAAAATAATAATTTATTATTTTTTAATCAGTTCTCATACTAAATTATATGTACTTATATATATTTATAACAAAGAGATTTCAAATTAAAGCAAATATATATACACACATTATTCTTATATGTACAATTCACATATAATGTACATATACTTGTATATTCATAAGTAAGTAAATAGTAATTTTTTGTACTCGAGATTTTGATTAGATTTAGAACAACAACGTTATTGTTTTAATTTTAAGTACATTTACAAAATAAAAATTTATCAGTTACTAATTATAGGTTTTATAATTCTGTTACTAAAGAGAGTTTTAATTAAGTACTACCTAAGTACCCAAGTACCTACCTAAATAACTACTTAAATTATTTATTAATAAATATTTTTTACAACAATTCCATTAATAAAAATTTGAAATAACAGAAGTTGTATCTAATTATTTTGATATATTATTAATTTTTAAATAAAATAAGAAGACATCATAAAAATAATCTTAATGAATGCCGGGGCAGAATGAGTTTCATATAATCAATAAGCGCGAAATCCGGTAGTGAATTATATTGAGTGGTAGAATACTCATAATTTCGATTCAATTCAGGGACCTATTCTGAATACTAGAATATAATTTTTAAGTTGTAACTGTAAAATGTTTAAATAAAACAGCCTTATACTAACATCCTTTTTGTTCGTCAATATATTATATCAAGCAACGTTAATTTGAGCATATTTCTGTTGAGAACGGTAAGATTTAAATGAATTCTAGATAATTTTCGATCCACGGCATTTGTCCGATTTTTAATATACATACATACATTATTTTATTTAATATATTGTATGCATTTTCAAATTGTTACCACGGCTAGGAGTCTTTTGTT